GTTTATTATTACTTTTAACATGTACAGTTAATTATTAATTTGATAATCATAATATTTTTTTTTATGTACACAATGAAAATTAAATTATTTTAATTTATTTTAATAATTTAACTTAATAAAAGTAAAAATGTTATTTATTTATATAAATTTATGATATTTAATTTTTTGGTATTTTATTATTAAAAATTTTATTATTTTGTTATTATTAACTAAAATATATATTTTACTAATATTTATACGACAGCTTATGGGATGTTTTTTTAATAATTATTTTTTATGTTTATTTTTAAAATTTATTTATTGATTTAATTTATCATTGAGGGTATTTTAGTAAATTTGCTATCTAGGGTTTTGAACGTTCCATAGGATAAATATTGAAGTTGCTTTACTTCTTTCTCTCTCCAGTTCGTTGAGCATTGCTGCGCCGAAGAGCACGAATCCCTTCTCCTTTCGTTTGCTCTGTTGATTACCAGATTCCGCCATGGCGACTGGAGCTGCACCGGCGCGTCAACTCTCACAGAAAGAGGCCGACATTCAGATGATGTTGGCAGCCGAGGTTCATCTTGGCACCAAAAATTGCAATTTTCAAATGGAACGATACGTTTTTAAGCGCCGAAATGATGGTGTGTTTAATGTCTACTCGCCTTTAGATCTTCTCTGGTTTGTTGTCTTAGTTTTGTTTTCTGTTTTTCATTCTTCTCGGTGATTTTCGCTTGGAGTGATTCAGAAAGTGCCAATGGACATGTTGTTATTGCTATTTAATTTCATTCCCTAGAATTTCTAAGAACATATTGTGATTTGAATTTTATTTATTTTTAGGTATGACGTTTCATTCTTTGGCTGTTTTTTTTGTTTATCTCTTTAAATTGCTACTCTATTTTCCGAAGAATTTTCTCCAAATTCTCCCTTGATGAATTTTACATTTCTAGTTTGATACTAACTTCAGATGCAATTTTGCATTTTATTGCTGAATGTTGATTTATAGGGTTTGTTTTTCTATCGCGTTGAACTGGAGAACTTAGTCTAATCTACATGGTTTTGAGAATCGGTTTTCTTTAGTCTGTTGCCCAAAAGGAACTCTGAGTTTATTAAAGGGGTCAATGCTGATTGTCTCTACAGCATGTCAATGTTAGGTTATTTGAATTGTTGCAGTGTGGTCGTGTACAATTTTTTCCATTTTAAAGTTTTCCTTTTGCTTTCAGGTATCTACATCATTAACCTTGGTAAAACATGGGAGAAACTTTACATGGCTGCTAGAGTTATTGTGGCTATAGAGAATCCTCAAGATATCATTGTTCAGTCTGCTAGGCCCTATGGTCAGAGGGCTGTTTTGAAGTTCGCTCAGTACACTGGTACTCATGCTATTGCAGGAAGGCACACTCCCGGAACATTTACCAACCAGCTTCAGACGTCGTTCAATGAACCGCGTCTTCTTATACTTACTGATCCTAGAACTGATCATCAGGTGTTCAATTTAGAAATCAATAGCACAGTACATGGTTTCAATTTAAGTCCAAGAAGAATGATGCCTTTATATTTTCAATTATGTTTGAATTCATGCTTGTTCCTTAGATTTATTTGTGTTTGGATTCACTTGATGCTGTTCTTTGTTGACGTCGCTTTGTTGATTCGGACTTGCAGCCCATTAAGGAAGGTGCCCTTGGGAACATTCCTACAATAGCCTTTTGTGACACTGATTCTCCAATGCGGTATGTTGATATTGGAATCCCGGCTAATAACAAGGGAAAACATAGCATAGGATGTCTGTTTTGGCTTTTGGCAAGGATGGTTCTACAAATGCGTGGGACAATTCGTGCTGGGCACAAATGGGATGTTATGGTAAAATTCTTAATGCAATTTTGTACTTGGATTTTAGAAACCACGTTTTGGCTCAAAATTTTAAATTAATGGTGAAATATTTCATTTTGTAGGTGGATTTGTTTTTCTATCGTGAGCCTGAGGAGGCTAAGGAGAAAGAAGAGGAAGAGGCTCTTCCACCCCCAGACTTTGGCATTGCTGACTATGGTGCTGCACCACTTGTTGCCTCAGATCAATGGGCCGCACAAATTTCTGATGCTCAATGGGGTGCTGCAGATGTGGTTCCTGCTCCTGCTGCTCCAGCCGCTTCGAGTGTCGAGTGGGCCCCAGAGCCAGGTTGAATCTCGAGCTTTTGTCGTTAATTGTTTGATGGAATCCCTATCTGCCTTTTACTGTGTCTATTCATGTAAACTAGCTTTGGTCTCCTTGAAGAACCTTTTCCTCTCAAGCTCCAGACCATTCACCTTGCTTGCTCTCCATATGAAGTTTTTGATTAGTACTTACCCATACTGCCAATTTCCCTGTTCTTTGCCATTACATTTTTTTTTTCATTTTAGACAGACCAGTAGTTATAAGATGAAACTGACTAGTTGAGGTTGGTCTCAGTTTGATTTCCTGTTTGAGGTGTTAAGATTTAAGATTTTAATGCCTAGTGTAACCGCCCTAGTCCACCGCTAGCAGATATTGTTCTCTTTGGGCTTTTCCTTTCCGGCTTCCCCTCTAAGGATTCCACACCCTTAAAGAATGTGTTGTTCTCCTCCCCAACCGATGTGAGATCTCACAATCCACCCCCATTTGGGGCCGGCATCCTCGTTGGCACTCGTTCCCTTCTCCAACCGACGTGGGACCTCCCAGTCCAGCCCCCTTTGGGGCCCGGCATCCTTGCTGACACACCGCCTTGTGTCCATTCCCCTTCGGGGCTTAGCCTTCTCGCTTACACATCGCCTGGTGTTTGGTTCTGATACCATTTGTAATGGTCTAAGCCCACCTCTAGCAGATATTGTCCTCTTTGGGCTTTTCCTCTCGAGCTTCCCCTCAAGGTTTTTAAAATGTGTCCGCTAGGAAAAGGTTTCCACACCCTTATAAAGAATGTTTCGTACCCCCAAAGAGGCGTTAACCATGACAAGAGTGCTCCTAAGCCCAAATGATATGGTTACTTCCACAATTTAGTGATCCCACAAAGCAAGTGACAGTATTGTGCTAATTAAGTGCTTTGCTGGCTTTTCATATCTTATATAACATTAATTTTCCTTTCCTCACTCGACATGCATTTCTTCTCACTTTCTTTCCCTTGTTTTTTCTTTGTTGCAGTTCCATTGGCAGCAAATGAGTGGGAGGCTGCAGTAGCACCTCCACCACCGGCACCACCGGCTGCTGATGGTGCAGCACCTTCCTCCGCCAGTTGGTTTTGAGAGAAGTCCTAACGATTTGTACCCAAATGGATTCATTATTATGAGTTTGCTTGTTTATTTAGGAATATCACCCTTCTTTTTTGGCTGCATAATCGACTCAATTTTGTTTGTTAGTCCCAGTTTTAGATTTAAAGATTGAATTATATCTGACTTCCATTTACCCTTTTTGAGATATATGAGAAATTACATGATCTTTTGCATACAAACAATATATTAATTGTGGGTGGTAGAAGCTCCATTTTTCGTCTAAACACCTTGAATTTGATATACGTGTAGTACCCAGATTCTTTTTTCTTCCCTTGTGAGTTATGGCGTTTCTCTTTACATTAGAATGTGAGTTTGTGGACACCTTGCGAGAAAACATGGGTAGGACATTCTACAAAAACATGGGTAGGGTAAACTTGCAAGAAACATCGGCAGGGTGTCCTTTAAGAAACATGTGCGGAAAATCTTTGGAGGATAATATGTGATCATGATGCACTACGTCTTAGGAGGTTTAGAGTAATAACTTTCATAACTATAATTAAACATTTCCTTCACAATATAGTGTAAAGGATATCATATGTATACATGACATACAACACATCACAATACAATACAAATAGTATGTAAGCATCATAAAGGATATCATATGTATACATGACATACAACACATCACAATACAAATAGTATGTAAGCATCATGGAGGAGCCACCAAACTTGTACCATCATAGATCAATCAATTTGCTAACTCCAACAAAAATGTGGTCACTTACCTTATTAGCTAAAGCTGTTGTCACTAATTTATTGTTAATGAAAGTTCGATTCTGTTATTTGAAATCAAGTAAATCTATCTGAGCCCAAGACATTAATTTCAAGTTCGAAATTTATTGTTAATGAAAGTTCGATTCTGTTATTTGAAATCAAGTAAATCTATCTGAGCCCAAGACATTAATTTCAAGTTCGAACTTCTGCAAAATTATTTCTCCAATTTACAATGGTCCATGTGTTAGATTTTATGCAAACATTACAGTCTTTGCATGAGTAACGTCTTTGAACATATATATGTACGTTATAATATTATTTTCATATAAACAATTTAAAACAGTTTAACACTTTTCCGATCTTTCTTTTTGCCTTATGTGTTTCTTTTCCTTCTTTTTTTTTTTTTAATTTATTCACAATCTTCCATTTTTTTAAAAACAATTTAGCACAGCGGAGACAACGATGAGTTATCTATCCACAGTCGAGACAGTGATGGGTTCTTTACCCCTACAGGGATGGAGCAGAAGTTTTGAGAATTCAAGAGAAGGTAGAAGGTAGCCGTTTTATCATTACGATAGGTGTCAAGTGGAAGTGCAGTGATGTATGCAGCTATTACGATAGGTGTCAAGTGGAAGTGCAGAGATGTATGCAGCTGATGTATCCTAACAGACCAATAGACTTAACATCCTAATAGACCAATAGACTTAACCAATCAACTATCTAACAAATTTCAAATGAATGATTTGGAACAACTAGACATGTCCCATAAATCTTAATAAAGATTTCAAAGACAAAATGTTGACTCAATCTCAAATATCTTATATCGACAAAATTATTATCGAGTATTGTATGCAATGATAACGCTAATTTCATTTAAGGAAGTGTATCCTAAAACATCTCAAATATTGAAAAAAAAAAAAAATCGACATTTATGTTTTCATTATTCTTAAATAAACAATGACGACTCCTTCATACAACACAATTCCCCTACGCTTCCAACGTTCGTCGTGGAGTGCCCTTATTCGCCCGAACAAGCAACTAAAAAATTGTTGTAATTTATGTTATTACATTATCCATTACATGAAAAATCTTAGGTTCGACTAACCCTTAAATGAAAATAAAAATTACACAACACTGACAACAATATACATACAATTACTTGCAAGACGAACACATACAACGGTATAAAATTGTATAATTATACAAGAATCGACAATGGGGATCGAAACTTGTCACATTCAAGTACAAAGATCCTATTCCCTCAATGATACTTAGCAATCTCAAAAATCCGAGCGGTAGTATCGAGAGCAACAGAAACAAGGTACTCATGATTGGCAGACACCGATAGAGATTGGATGGTGTCGGAGTGCCCGGTGAAGGTTCTTACACACTCTCCAGAGAGGGTATCCCATATTCGAACACGACCATCGACACACCCGGTTGCAAGATATCTCGACGTGCCAATCCAAGTAAGACATGATACTCCATCCTGTCCAAAATAAAAGGAAGGTATGTTTATCCTTAAACAAGTCAAACCCAACTATTCAAATCTACTTACAATCAACACTAATGAAGGGTTATGAAGATAAATGGTAAACTAAATACACTATTTTACGAACTTAAAAACATAATTTAGTAGTGAATAGACCTCGTGCTGGCGTCGACTGTCGAAGATCCCAAATGATGAGCTTACGATCCATTCCTCCGGTTGCAGCCCAAGGGGAGCTGCCATTCAAGATTGAAAAGAATCAGAACATTCATTAGGCTATTAGCGTATAAAATTTTGCACTAAATTAGACCTTTGTTGAGGATTATTGGGAGGGAGTCCCACGTTCGCTAATTTAGGGAATGACCACGGGTTTATAAGGAATACATCTCCATTGGTAGGAGGCCTTTTTGGAAGCCCAAAGCAAAGTCACGAGAGCTTATGCTCAAAGTGGATAATATCATACCATTGTGGAGAGTCGAGATTCCTAACATGATATTAGAGTCCTGTCCTTAACTTAGTTATGTCAATAGAATCCCCAAATGTCGAACAAAGAAGTTGTGAACCTCGAAGGTGTAGTCAAAAGTGACTCAAGTGTCGAACAAAGGGTGTACTTTGTTCGAGGACACCAGAGAAGGAGTTGAGCCTTGATTATGGGGAGACTGTTCGAGGGCTCCATAAGCCTCATGAGAGGCTCTATAGTGTACTTTGTTCGAGGGAAGGATTGTTGAGGATTAATGGGAGGGAGTCCCACATTGGCTAATTTAGGAAATGATCATGGGTTTATAAGTAAGGAATACATCTCTATTGGTGGGAAGCCCAAAGCAAAGCCATGAGAGCTTATACTCAGTGGACAATATCATACCATTGTGAAGGTCCGTGATTCCTAAGAACATTTTTAACAAAGTTTCATGAATCATAATTAACCACAGTACCTTGGCGCTAGACCGATGCACTCGATTGAATTTGAATGAGAAACCAGAGAATTAACGACCTGTCAAAAGGAGCGTCTTCATTTTTTCTTTTATGAGAAAGTAGACTACAAAATAGAAGTCCAGGGCCATAAAAATTACAGCTTACACCAGATACAAGCAACTAACTTGAATAAAAAACAGTTTCAATCCCTAATACAAGCAACTAACTTGAATAAAAAACAGTTTCAATCCCTAAAATAAGGGTCTTCTATAAGAGCTAGGCCCACCGCTAGCAGATATTGTACTCTTTAGCTTTCCCTTTCGGGCTTCCCCTCAAGGCTTTAAAACGCGTCTGCTAGGGAGAGGTTTCCACACCCTTATAAAGAGTGTTTCATTCTCCTCCCCAACCGATGTGGGACATCACAATCCACCCTCCTTCAGGGCCCAGCGTCCTCGCTGGCACTCGTTCATTTCTCCAATCAATGTGAGACCCCTACCAAATCCACCCTCCTTTGGGGCCCAACATCCTTACTGACACACCGCCTCGTTCTACCCCATTCGGGGAATGGCCTCCTCGCTGGCACATCACCCGGTGTCTGGTTTTGATACCATTTGTAACGGTCCAGGCCCACCGCTAGCAGATATTATCCTCTTTGGGTTTTTTTCCTTTTGGGTTTCCTCTCAAGGCTTTAAAACGCGTCTGCTAGGGAGAGGTTTCCACCCCGTTATAAAGGGTGTTTTGTTCTCCTCCCCAAACGATGTAGGACATCACATCTTCATTTCAATCTATCCATTGCACCGTACATTGAAACATCAGAAATTCACATGCACTGAAGAAAATAGTGTTGAAGTTTTCTTTTTTCTAATAATTATGAATGTCTCGTGAGTTAATATGCTTGACTTATCAAAAAGAAATTATTAACCTAGAGCAATTTTAAGATAATTATTTAGTAGTGTTATTGATTTGAATAAGTTTAGGGAAATTGTTATCTTTAATTACGAATATTTGTTAGTAGTTGCTTAACTTAAAAAGAAAGTTTAGGAACTTGAGAGAAGTTTAGAAGATCGATTGTACTTTCTCCACTATAAAAACTCATGAGATGTATGTTATTTTCACAACAACAAAAGAGAATTGATAAGCATAAGTGCTCAAGGTTCTTTTATTCAAAAGCTCTCTCCCCTCAAGTTGTTCTTCCGTTTCAGTAATTTGTTTCGACATATTTTGATTGTAGGCAATTTCCAACAGATCCCACATTGGTTGGGAGGAGAACAAAACCTTCTTTATAAGAATGTGGAAACCTCTCCCTAGCATACGCGTTTTAAAACTTTGAGGGGGAATTCGAAAGGGAAAACCCAAAGAGAACAATATCTGCTAGCAGTGGGCTTAGGCTGTTACAAATGATATCAGAGCTAGACACCGGGGGATATGCCAGTGAGGAGACTGAGCCCCGAAGGAAGGTGGACACAAGGCAGTGTGCCGCCGAGGATGCTGGGACCTGAAGAGGGGTGAATTGTAAGATCCCACATCGGTTGGGTTGGAGAATGAAACATTATTTATAAGAGTGTGGAAACCTCTCCCTAGCAGACTCGTTTTAAAACCTTGAGGGGAAGCCTGGAAGGGAAAGCCCAAAGAGGACAATATCGGCTAGCGGTGGACTTGAGCGGTTACAAATGGTATCAGAGCTAGACACCAAAATGTGTGCCAGCGAGGACGCTAAGCCCGATTGCTAGGTCCTAAAAGGGTGTGGATTGTGAGATCTCGCATCGGTTGGATGGGAGAACAAAACATTTTTTATAAGGGTATGGAAACCTCTCTCTTGTTGGAAATTGCCCACGATTGAAATATGTCGGAACAAATAACTGAAGCGGAAGAACAACCTGAGGGGAGAGAGCTCTTGAATAGAGGAACCTTAAGCACTTATGCTTTATTAATTCTTTTTTTTTTGTTGAAATAACATACATCTCATGAGTATTTATAGTGAAGATTGCACAACCGATCTCTTAAACTTCCTCATAAACTTTCAAATCAATAACTACTCAATTTTCCTAAAATTACTCTAGGTTAATAACTTCTTTTACTAAGTCAAGCTTATGAACTCACATCCTTAACATACGCGTTTTAAAAACCTTGACAGAAGCGTTTTAAAAACTTTGACAGACACGTTTTAAAAACCTTGAGGGAAAGCCTAAAGAGGAACAATATTTGCTAGCGATGAACTCAGGCTTGGCTGTTACATGTCCAGACCTCAAATAGTCCTAGAATGGTCCTAGAGAACAACTGCCTTCAACATTTAGCATTACAAGCAAATGCGATAGGCCAACCCAACAGGGCTGCAACTGTGCATTTATCATACAATTCAGGTCAAATAACCAAATGAAGTTCAGTAAAGGACACAAGATGCTAGGTCTCTTCTGCTCCTATAAAAACTAACACATAAAACCCTCCTTTTTACAACTTCCAACCTAACCGTTAACTATTTACCAACTGTACTAACTTAATATAACGACTCAAGCCCACCGCTAGCAGATATTGCTTCTTTGGATTTTTTCTTTTGGGCTTTCCCTCAATGTTTTTAAAACGCGTCAGCTAGGGAGAGGTTTCCACCCCTTATAAAGAACGATTCGTTCCCTTCTCCAATTGACGTGGGATCTCACAATCTACTCCCTTTGGGGCTCAGCATCCTCACTCACACTCGTTCTCCTCTCCAATCGATGTGGGATCTCACAATCCACCTCCCTTCGAGGTCCAGCGTCCTCGCTAGCACACTAGCCGGTGTCTGGCTCTGATATCATTTGTAACAGCCCAAGCCCACCACTAGCAGATATTGTTTTCTTTTGGCCTTTCCTTTCGAGCTTCCCCTCAAGATTTTTAAAACACATCTACTAGGGAGAGGTTTCCACACCCTTATAAAGAATTATTCGTTCTCATCTCCAATCAATCGGGATCTCACACTTAACCTTAATTCTTCTCAATAGTTATGTAATGTACAGTCTAGTTGCTCAATCAAAGTCATTCAAACCAACAGAGATTCAAAATGTGGCATAAACTATTCCAATCAACTCGAGACATGAAAGAAAAGGATGGGTTATTCACTGGGAAGAACGCCCCGAACAACCCCCTTTACTCCGCTAAAAAACGAGAATATCATCGAAAGAAATAGTAGAAATAACCTTTCCAGTCGATATGTTCACAATATGAACAGAACCATCTTTTGAACCGGTAAGAGCAAGCATTGAAACGCGTGTGTTAGGGAGAGGTTTCCACATACTTGTAAAGAATGCTTCGCTCCCCTCTCCAACCAACGTGGGATCTCACAATCCACCCCCTTCGGGGTCCAGCGTCCTTGTTGGCAATCGTTCCCCTCTCCAATCGACGTGGGACCCCCCAATCCATCCCCTTCGTGGCACAGCGTCCTCGATGGCACACCACATTTTTCTTTTTACTCCTCTATGTTACTTCACCTTTTCAACTTCCAAATCCTCTGAGGAATGTTCATGTAGTTTATGATTAATAAGGATAAATTAAAAATGAGTCGTACACTCACGTTTCTAGCATACCTCTCACAACATGAATATTTTCACCACTTCTTGGATTCCATATCCTCATTGTTGCATCATCAGAACCCGTGCATATCATTTTACCTGGAGCAACAAAAGGCCAAAATAATATCATGGTCATTAGAAAATAAATAAATAAAATGCACGAATTCAACTCCAAGCTTGAGGAAGAGTGCAGCTTTGAAAATTTTTATTGAGTTTGTTAGGAACCACAACTCTCCACAACAGCATGATATTGTCCACTTTGAGCATAAGCTCTCGTGACTTTACTTTTGGTTTCCCCTCAAAGGCCTCATACCAATGGATATAGTGTTCCTTACTTATAAACCCATGATCTTCCTCTTAATTAGCCAATGTGGGACTACTCTTTTCGATAATCCTCAACAATCCTCCCCTCGAACAAAGTACATCATAGAACCTCCCCTGAGGTCTATGGAGCTCTCGAACAACCTCCCTTTAATCGAGGCTCGACTCCTTTCTTTGGAGCCATTGAACAAAGTACACCCTTCGTTCAACATTTGAGTCACTTTTGACTACACCTTCGAGGCTCACAACTTCTTTGTTCAACATTTGAGGATTCTATTGGCATGGCTCTAACACCAGATTGTTGAATACAACTTTTTGTGAGAAACACACGCACTCTTTATTAACACCAATCGAGAAAGAGATTACAAGACACTCTGTAGAAACTACTGCACTCTATGCTTTTGATTTCTTGAGACGAAAACCTAGGTAGGATGAAGGGGTATTTATAGTGGAGGCAAGACAATCTATTCCTACAACATTTAAATCTTTTTCCTAATAAAATAGCTAAATCATTTTTCTAAAAATAAACATACAATGGTCTCGTACAATTATTGGGCTTGACCCTATTGAGCTAGTGATGATATTTTAACCGAGTTTAATTTAGATCTTAATTCTTTTCATTTATTATTGAATACCCTTTGTTCCTACAAGTAGTTTCTCTAGTATTATATTTAGAATCTGATAATTACTTACATGGGATAGTAAGAAACAAAAGAAGATTAGTTCAATACCATCAGGGGTAAAATCACCGCAGGTAACTGAAGCACTGTGACCAGAAAATATATTAGATAGACACCTCTATCAGCATTCCACATCCAAGCGGTCGAATCTTCAGAACCAGCCAAAACCAGATGTCCTCTTGGATGCCACCTTACCCACTGAGATATCAAATGCTTATTATTTTTTGTATAAAGAACCAAATTTTCTTTGAGCAAAAAAAAAAAAAAAAGAAAAAACCACAAAAAGAAAGTCCCACTAAAGGGACTCTAGTCAAGAACAATAAAACCAACATAGAGCTAAGAATCAAACGAGGGACCAAATTTGAGATCCAACCTCGGTTAGGGAGGAGAACGAAGCTCATTCTTTATAAAGGTGTGGAAATCTCTCCCTAGCATACGCGTTTTAAGAACCTTGAGGGGAAGCACGAAAGGAAAAACCTAGAGTGAACAATATCTGCTAGTGGTGGGTTTGAGCTATTATAAATGGAATCAGAGCCAGACACCGAGCAGTGTGCCAATGAGGACATTGGGCCCCAAGGTGGTGGATTGTGAGATCCCACATTGGTTAGAGAAGGGAACAAAACTGGTTAGAGAAGGGAACAAAACATTCTTTTTAAGGGTGTGGAAACCTCTCCCTAACAAACGCGTTTTAAAACCTTGAGGAGAAGCCTATAAGGGAAAACCAAAAGAGGACAATATCTGCTAGCGGTGGGCTTAAATTGTTACAGTCTCAAGTAGGGTTAGAGATTAGAGACGAAAATCCCTTATTAAAGATAAAAGAGTCGTTACATTAGCTGTTTCCCTATCTGACAAATGACAGGTGAGCCTAAGCGATAAAGATCGAGAGCTTCTTGAACGAAATACGTCATCAGCCATCAAGCAATTTTTCATAGAATTAAGAAAGAATAAACAAGAAAACATCATAGGGATCTATCCCCCATCCACTTATCCTCTCAAAAATACGTTTCCTTCTCATCTCGAACAAAACAATAGTCCAAGTGAGAGATCGAAGGGAGCTTATGATAAATTTCTTTCCAAAGGTAGATATAAGTGTCTTTTACCCCACTTGATATCCACTCAAATGGAAGAAGATAGCACTTGCTTGCCCATAATCTTATACTTCAAGATCTACAGACTGAATGGCTTGGTTAAATTATTAATTTTATCAAAAATAAATATAGCTTTACCTCAATTCCCCCTCCAGGACCTTCAGTGTGCATTTAAGATTCCCGGATGAAGTATCCCAAATTTGGATAACACCATCAAAACTCCCTGATGCAAGTAGTTGTCCATTTGCACTAAATGCTAAGCTAGACACAGAATCCTTGTGACCTGCCAAGGCAAAGAAGGTGAAATTGGAACTTAGGAAGCATAATATAACACTTTTGGTTTTGGAGGTGAAAAGCAAAACGAAAAATGAAAGTAACTATTTGCACACACCGGTAAGCTCCTGTGCAAAATCTCCTCGACCGATCTTCCACATAAAACCTTTGTCATCTCCACCACCCGTCGCAACTAATGTGGCATCGATTGGACTACAAGCCACCGTGTAAACCTCACCTACGGAAAAGTGATACCCCAACATGAAGAGACAGGTTAAAATATTCACATTAGTTTTAACATATGCATGGAAAGACACCTGCACTTATACGATGAACAAGGATAAACTTCACTTCAATTAGGAAATTTTTTAAGAGCTATCTACACTCCATTTTGATTCAAATGTTTCAGACGTGAGGTTAGATCATCAGTTGATTCATCAAATTAATATACGAACCTTACAAATGTTGGATATGACCCATGATCGAATATGTCGAAACAAGTAAAAGAAACAAAGGAACAACTTGAGGGGAGAGATCTTGTGGAACAAAGAAACCTTCAGCACTTAGCTTTTCAATTCTCTTTCTTGTTGTCGTGAAAAGAGCATACATCTCATGAGTATTTATAGTGAAGAAAACACTAACTAGTTTCCTAAACTTTCTCGTCAAGTTACGGACCACTAACAATCTTCCTAACTAAAGCATAAAATTTGGTCCACAATTTGGCAACTACTACCGGTTCTCCTAGTTGCTCCATAAGTTAGTAACTTATTCTACTAAGTCTACTAACAATTCTCCTAAAGTTACTCAATACGTTAGTAACTTATTCTACTAAGTCTATTAACCAATCTCCTAAAATTACTCTATAAGTTAGTAATTTGTTCTACTAATTTAAGTTTATTAGCTCACAACAAAGACGGGAAAACACAAAGAAGGAAGCAATAGGTGTGTGTGTAAGTTGCATACGTAAATTGAAAAACAATTAAAATAGACGCTTACCGGTATGGCCAGTAAATGTATGAATTGAATCATCATCCTCATCTGAAACCACCCAATTCAATAAATGCAACCATTAACGGAGCACAATACTTAGTCTCAAAACATAATATTGTAAGTCAAAGACCAATACAACAGAAATGTTATTTGAGAACATGAAGCATTAAGCCATCAAGATTACTGGAATATAACATCTCATACCAACATATTCATCATCATAGCCTTCTTCATCAACAGCATCAGGAAGATCTTAAATCGACAGAATAAACTTAATAATCAGTACAGAAAACTTCACTGAAACATAAAGGTAAAATCAACAGGAGGAAAGAGAGACCTTCCTCATCAACTTGGACTTCGTGGAGTATGTCATCTTCGTCGAGGAAGACCTCACCGTGATCATCTTCCTCCTCATGTGTGTTAGAGGAACACGACTCTCCACAATGGTATGATATTGTCCACTTTGAGCATAAGCTCTCATGGCTTTGCTTTGGGCTTCCCCAAAAGGCCTCATACCAATGGAGTTAGTATTCCTCACTTATAAACCCATGATCACACCCTAAATTAGTCGATGTGGGACTTCCATCATCCAACAATGTGAACCTGGAATGTTCATAGATCTCTCGTGGTACAATAACTGGAATTGCTATGGAAGCAAGGAAAGAGTATATGTGAGAGTCAAACTTTATGTTATATCATTATCTCTAATTCAAAATTTAAAAAACAAAAATTATTAATACCTCTATTATGCACTTCACATAAAAAGGGGAAAAAAAGATTAATTCCCCCACAAGATTATTGCGATATTTTTTTGTGTATTTATCCTTCCAATTTTTTTCGTAAATGGGGATGTTAACATCCCCTATTGAGACTCATTAGCTTTTGTAAGAGAGAATGAACTACAAAAGTTCTAGATGAATCTAATAGACCCCAATCATGAAAGACACAAATAAGAAAAATAAAGAAAATGTTTTTCTTTCAGTATCGTTGTGCGTCTGGGCCAGCTGTGTGTCACAATCACACTTTTCTTAGTAGCGGACATTGCGATTGTGTGACACTCACTCCCAACACCAAGTGAGTCAAGCCAATTTGTATTCACGTCGCCTACAACCGGACAACGTATGCTCAAGCCTCTGACAACTAGTCAATTTCTTTCAATATTGAGACTCATTAGCTTTTGTAAGAGAGAATGATAGTCGAGCCCGTTTGAGAAGAAGGTCCTAGAAAAAGGGAGCAGAGAGATTTTTGAAAGCGAGTTTGAAAGTAAGAATGAGAGAAGATTTAAAAGCAACGTTATATACTATAAGCAAAAGGCAACACAACAACTTAAATAAAATATAACTTTCTGGGTAGGGAGAATTTGACAACTAGTCGCATCCCCCTATAGTACATTTTGAGGCAATTCAGGTTTGGTAGAGCTAGATGTGTTTTTTCCGAACGGTCATACAAAATCAAGGGGAGGAGTTAGACAACTTCTATAGTACATTTTGGGGTGATTTAGGTCTGGCAGGCCTAGACATGACTTCGCCAAGTAGTCGTATAAATAGAAAATATAATAGTAAGGCAATATAACATGAAATTAAATAAAGAGTTCGACGTGGCATGGGCATGTGGCTACGGGCGTGTAGCCCTGGACGAGCATGATCGTGACACTGTGCGCACCTCGACTGATCTCAAAAGGCAACCCGTCTTACCTACAATACTTGGGTGTCAAGGAAACTCCTAGGATATTGAATTCTAGGTAGGTGGCCATCATAGATTGAACTTATTCTCTCTCAACCAATCTCTCAACCAACGGTAGTTAGGAAAAGGGAGAAAATGGAGGAATGGGAAATGAGAAGTGTGAGGATTGAAAGATGGGGAATTATTGTACTAGTAAGTTTGGTAGGGAGAATTCGAGTACATGAAGTACAATGTAATTAGATGCCTCTTATTTCCGATCGATTCAAAGTATCAATGGGACTTAGATTTTATTGATTAATATGAAGAAGAGGATATTAGGAATCATGAAACTCCACAATAGTATGATATGTTGGGAAAAAGGGATGTGAAAGAGATAAGAATAGATGAATGCTGCAGTGCTTTATTATTGTTCACTGACTTAATGCTTAGAGTGTTACACAATTCCAGTATTTATAACTTATACACTGGACCAGAAATAGTAAATCATCGAAATCTAGAAAAATTGAAATCTACTAACAATCTCCTAAAATCTTGTAGTTTGAATATTTGAATCATATCTCAACTACTTTGAATCATATCTCAACATGATATTGTCCACTTTGAGCATAAGCTCTCATGGCTTTGCTTTTGGTTTCCGAAAAAGGCCTCATACCAACGGAGATGTATTCCTTACCTATAAAGGATCATTCCCTAAATTAGCCAATGTGGGACTCCCTCCCAACAATCCTCCCCTCGAACAAAGTACACCATAGAGCCTCCGATGAGGCCTATGGAGCCCTCAAACAACCTCCCCTTAATCAAGGCTCGACTCCTTCTCTCGAGCCCTCGAACAAAGTACACTCTTTGTTCGTCACTTGAGTCCCTTTTAACTACACCTTCGAGGCTCACAATTTCTTTGTTCGACATTTGAGGATTCTATTGACATGTCTAAGTTAAGGGCATGACTCTATACCATGTTAGGAACCACAAACCTCCACAATGGTATGATATTGTCCACTTTGAGCATAAGCTCTCATGGCTTTGCTTTTGGTTTCCCCAAAAGGCCTCATACTAATAGAGATAGTGTTCCACACTTATAAACTCATGATCTTCCTCTTAATTACCCAATTTTGAACTATTCCTCTCAACAATCCTCAACAGACGACTCCAATCTTCAAAAAGGCTCGATATGTTCTTCCCAACACTAATTACTACCGTTTTTGTTGTTCTGTCAATCAAAATAACTCCTACAAGGATGCTAGAAAATTCACGGTCGTATAAACAAGGAAACTTTCAACAGAGACCAAAGAGATATTCAGATATCAAAGCCTCAATCAACAGACATAAGCAACAAATCAAAAGGTAGTTTCAAAAGTCAAATCCAAATTTATGTCATTTTAAGTTTAGGACAATCTTGAGTGGATATGGTATGATACTAAAACGAGGAAACAACTTTTCAAATCGAGTTAACGACCCTGTCTCATAGGGGAAAAAAGTTCTTATGTTAACACCTATGGAATTTGACTGCAAAATGGCCCGGAAGAGGAAGTGAAAAGAATTCGTGTTTTTTCGTTTCTATTCGGCCATTTTATTATTTCATTAGACAAATCCAAATTTATGTCATCCACGAGAGAAGAAAGACATGGCGAAGAGAGTAGAAAACCAGAGAAAAACCGTTAGGAGGTAAGCTGCGGAGGTACTTACGGCAGAAAGATGGCGGCGGCGACACTGAGCTGCCGAAATGGAGAAGACGGCGGGAAGAAGAAGATGAAAGGAATTGGGTTGCCTCTTTTTTCTTTTACTTGTTTTTACGAAAGTGGGTGAGTTTCATTTTATTTTTATTAGCATTTTCTAATTAATCAATTTTTATTAATCACTTGTTATTAAAGAATATATATATATATATATATATATATATATATACTATCCCGGATAGATTATTACTTGTTTAAATCTCATTCAAATTTTTAATATGTATATTTTTGTTTAGAAAAGTCGTGCATCATTCGATATTGATAAGAATTCTTCCCTCCCTGTGTGTTCATTGAAATTGGACTTCATGGTATTAGAATCTTGCCTTTAACTTAGCCATGTCAATAAAATCCTCAAATGTCGAAGAAAGAAGTTGTGAGTCTCGAAGGTGTAGTCAAAAGTGACTCAAGTATTGAACAAATGGTGTACTTTGTTCGAGGATTTCAGAAAAGGAGTCGAGCCTCGATTAAGGGGAGGCTGTTTGAGGGCTCCATAGGCCTCATGGGCTCTATAGTGTACTTTGTATGGCCTTATGGGAGACTCTACAGTGTACTTTGTTCGAGGGGAGGATTGTTGAGGATTAATGGGAGGGAGTCCCACGTTGGCTAATCTAGGGAATGATCATGGGTTTATAAGTAAGGAATACATCTGGTACGAGGCCTTTTGGGGAAGCCCAAAGCAATGTCATGAGAGCTTATGCTCAAAGTGGATAATATCATACCATTTTGGAGATCCGTAATTCCTAACATGGTTTCCTCCTATATTATTCTAAAACCAAACCCTTCGTGATTTACCACGTTTTAGGTAATTTTACGTTGTTGATCTTCCACGGTAAAACTATCCTTGTTGTGCTTGTCGAAAAAGGAAGTGCACAAATTGAATTACAATTTTGGGTGGGGAAGAAAGATCTAGTAGCCCCATATCTCCCACGAACCAATAATTAACGACTATCCATCTCTAATGTAGACGTGACCTAATCCAGTAGCCCCATATCTCCCACGAACCAATAATTAACGACTATCCATCTCTAATGTAGACGTGACCTAATCCAGTAGCCCCATATCTCCCACGAACCGATAATTAACGACTATCCATCTCTAATGTAGGCGTGACCTAATCCAGTAGACCCATCTCTCCCACGAACCAATAATTAACGACTATCCATCTCTAATGTAGACGTGACCTAATCTAGTAGCCCCGTAGCCCCGTATCTCCCGCGAACCAATAATTAATGACTATCCATCTCTAATGTAGACGTGACCTAATCCAGTAGCCTCGTATCTCCCACGAACCAATAATTAACGACTATCCATCTCTAATGTAGACGTGACCTAATCCAGTAGCCCCATATCTCCCACGAACCAATAATTAACGACTATCCATCTCTAATGTAGACGTGACCTAATCCAGTAGCCCCATATCTCCCACGAACCGATAATTAACGACTATCCATCTCTAATGTAGGCGTGACCTAATCCAGTAGCCCCGTATCACCCACGAACCGATAATTAACGACCATCTATCTCTAATGTAGGCGGGACCTAATCTAGTAGCCCCATATCTCCCACGAACCAATAATTAACGACTATCCATCTCTAATGTAGACGTGACCTAATCCAGTAGCCCCATATCTCCCACGAACCAATAATTAACGACTATCCATCTCTAATGTAGACGTGACCTAATCCAGTAGCCCCATATCTCCCACGAACCGATAATTAACGACTATCCATCTCTAATGTAGGCGTGACCTAATCCAGTAGCCTCTTATCTCCCACGAACCAATAATTAACGACTATCCATCTCTAATGTAGACATGACCTAATCCAGTAGCCCCATATCTCCCACGAACCGATAATTAACGACTATCCATCTCTAATGTAGGCGTGACCTAATCCAGTAGCCCCATATCTCCCACGAACCAATAATTAACGACTATCCATCTCTAATGTAGACTGACCTAATCTCGTAGCCCCGTAGCCCCGTATCTCCCGCGAACCAATAATTAATGACTATCCATCTCTAATGTAGACGTGACCTAATCCAGTAGCCTCGTATCTCCCACGAACCAATAATTAACGACTATCCATCTCTAATGTAGACGTGACCTAATCCAGTAGCCCCATATCTCCCACGAACCGATAATTAACGACTATCCATCTCTAATGTAGGCGTGACCTAATCAAGTAGCCCCATATCTCCCACGAACCGATAATTAACGACTATCCATCTCTAATGTAGACGTGACCTAATCCAGTAGCCTCGTATCTCCCACGAACCAATAATTAACGACTATCCATCTCTAATGTAGACGTGACCTAATCCAGTAGCCCCATATCTCCCACGAACCGATAATTAACGACTATCCATCTCTAATGTAGATGTGACCTAATCCAGTAGCCCCGTATCTCCCACGAACCGATAATTAACGACCATCTATCTCTAATGTAGGCGGGACCTAATCTAGTAGCCCCATATCTCCTACGAACCGATAATTAACAACTATCCATCTCTAAGGTTGGGCCATCTTGCTTTCAAAACCCTCTTTCGAAATCTCTCTGTCCCTGTTTTCTAAAACTTTCTTCTTGAACCGGGGCAAGAAGCTCGAGCATACGTCCCTTGGCCGTAGGCAACGCAAGAACGAATATGCTTAACTCACTTGTTGCTGGGAAGTGAGTGTCGTACAATCGCAAGTCCGCTACCATCAAAGTGCGATTGTGACAAGTAAATAGCCCCACTTATAGAGTCATAGTACTTAAAAGTGAGCAAGTTGTGGGCTATTGTTACTTAGCACTCACTCGAGTCTCGAATGTCTCTTTAATTCTCTCTCTCATGCTAGTGATTTCGTGTGAGGAACGCTGTCAATGTAAGTATGACTTTAATGACATAATATTATGATCGTAAAGAAAAATACTTCAATGCAAATTTATCATTGTCAGAAGTGGGATTTGAACACATGCACTCTTACGAAGACCAAAACTTGAGACTAGATCACTCAACCATCCTAACATTTAGCTTGTAGTTTTAATTGTAATTGTCTTATGAAGACCACAACTTGCAGAATAAGTGGAATTTGAACCCACGCCCTCTTATGAGGACCAAAACATGAGTCTTGCGAATAAGTGGGATAGCATTTTATCATGTCAAAAGTGGAATTTGAACCCACGACCTCTTATGAAGACCAAATATTGAATTTTGCACCTTAGACCACTCAACCATCCTTACATTATAGCAACAATTAGAACGAGCTAGAATGAGAGCCTAGACACTAATTTAGCATGTCAATAGTGGGATTTGAACCCATGCCAACTTACGAAGACCCGAACTTGAGTCTGGCGCCTTAGACCACTCGGCCATCCTGACATGTGATTTGCAATATTTTTCAGTACAATAACGATGACATTGTGATGACATGCCTTTAGCAACAAGAACGAGCTAGAATGAGAGTCTAGATGCTAATAATCTAGCATGTCAGAAGTGGGATTTGAACCCACGCCCTCGTACGAAGACCAGAACTTGAGTCTGGCGCCTTAGACCACTCGGCCATCCTGAAATTTAGCTTGCAGTATTTTTCAGTACAATAACGATGACATTGTGATGACATGCCTTTAGCAACAAGAACGAGCTAGAATGAGAGCCTAGATGCTAATAATCTAGCATGTCAGAAGTGGGATTTGAACCCACGCCCTCGTACGAAGACCAGAACTTGAGTCTGGCGCCTTAGACCACTCGGCCATCCTGACATTTAGCTTACAGTATTTTTCAGTACAATAACGATGACATGCCTTTAGCAACAAGAACGAGCTAGAATGAGAGTCTAGATGCTAATAATCTAGCATGTCAGAAGTGGGATTTAAACCCACGCCCTCTAACGAAGACCAGAACTTGAGTCTGGCGCCTTAGACCACTCGGCCATCCTGACATTTAGCTTGCAGTATTTTTCAGTACAATAACGATGACATGCCTTTAGCAACAAGAACGAGCTAGAATGAGAGTCTAGATGCTAATAATCTAGCATGTCAGAAGTGGGATTTAAACCCACGCCCTCTAACGAAGACTAGAACTTGAGTCTGGCGCCTTAGACCACTCGGCCATCCTGCAGTATTTTTCAGTACAATAACGATGACATTGTGATGACATGCCTTTAGCAACAAGAACGAGCTAGGAATGAGAGCCTAGACGCTAATNGGGATTTAAACCCACGCCCTCTAACGAAGACCAGAACTTGAGTCTGGCGCCTTAGACCACTCGGCCAATCTAGCATGTCAGAAGTGGGATTTAAACCCACGCCCTCTAACGAAGACCAGAACTTGAGTCTGGCGCCTTAGACCACTCGGCCATCCTGCAGTATTTTTCAGTACAATAACGATGACATTGTGATGACATGCCTTTAGCAACAAGAACGAGCTAGGAATGAGAGCCTAGACGCTAATAATCTAGCATGTCAGAAGTGGGATTTGAACCCACGCCCTCGTACGAAGACCAGAACTTGAGTCTGGCGCCTTAGACCACTCGGCCATCCTGACATTTAGCTTGCAATATTTTTCAGTACAATAACGATGACATTGTGATGACATGCCTTTAGCAACAAGAACGAGCTAGAATGAGAGTCTAGATGCTAATAATTTAGCATGTCAGAAGTGGGATTTGAACCCACACCCTCGTACGAAGACCAGAACTTGAGTCTGGCGCCTTAGACCACTCGGCCATCCTGACATTTAGCTTGCAGTATTTTTCAGTACAATAATGATGACATTGTGATGACATGCCTTTAGCAACAAGAACGAGCTAGAATGAGAGCCTAGATGCTAATAATCTAGCATGTCAGAAGTGGGATTTGAACCCACGCCCTCGTACGAAGACCAGAACTTGAGTCTGGCGCCTTAGACCACTCGGCCATCCTGACATTTAGCTTGCAGTATTTTTCAGTACAATAACGATGACATGCCTTTAGCAACAAGAACGAGCTAGAATTGTGATGAAGATGCTAATAATCTAGCATGTCAGAAGTGGGATTTAAACCCACGCCCTCTAACGAAGACCAGAACTTGAGTCTGGCGCCTTAGACCACTCGGTCATCCTGCAGTATTTTTCAGTACAATAACGATGACATTGTGATGACATGCCTTTAGCAACAAGAACGAGCTAGGAATGAGAGCCTAGACGCTAATAATCTAGCATGTCAGAAGTGGGATTTGAACCCACGCCCTCGTACGAAGACCAGAACTTGAGTCTGGCGCCTTAGACCACTCGGCCATCCTGACATTTAGCTTGCAGTATTTTTCAGTACAATAACGATGACATTGTGATGACATGCCTTTAGCAACAAGAACGAGCTAGAATGAGAGCCTAGATGCTAATAATCTAGCATGTCAGAAGTGGGATTTGAACCCACGCCCTCGTACGAAGACCAGAACTTGAGTCTGGCGCCTTAGACCACTCGGCCATCCTGACATTTAGCTTGCAGTATTTTTCAGTACAATAACGATGACATTGTGATGACATGCCTTTAGCAACAAGAACGAGCTAGAATGAGAGCCTAGATGCTAATAATCTAGCATGTCAGAAGTGGGATTTGAACCCACGCCCTCGTACGAAGACCAGAACTTGAGTCTGGCGCCTTAGACCACTCGGCCATCCTGACATTTAGCTTGCAGTATTTTTCAGTACAATAACGATGACATTGTGATGACATGCCTTTAGCAACAAGAACGAGCTAGAATGAGAGCCTAGATGCTAATAATCTAGCATGTCAGAAGTGGGATTTGAACCCACGCCCTCGTACGAAGACCAGAACTTGAGTCTGGCGCCTTAGACCACTCGGCCATCCTGACATTTAGCTTGCAGTATTTTTCAGTACAATAACGATGACATTGTGATGACATGCCTTTAGCAACAAGAACGAGCTAGAATGAGAGCCTAGATGCTAATAATCTAGCATGTCAGAAGTGGGATTTGAACCCACGCCCTCGTACGAAGACCAGAACTTGAGTCTGGCGCCTTAGACCACTCGGCCATCCTGACATTTAGCTTGCAGTATTTTTCAGTACAATAACGATGACATTGTGATGACATGCCTTTAGCAACAAGAACGAGCTAGAATGAGAGCCTAGATGCTAATAATCTATAGCATGTCAGAAGTGGGATTTGAACCCACGCCCTCGTACGAAGACCAGAACTTGAGTCTGGCGCCTTAGACCACTCGGCCATCCTGACATTTAGCTTGCAGTATTTTTCAGTACAATAACGATGACATTGTGATGACATGCCTTTAGCAACAAGAACGAGCTAGAATGAGAGCCTAGACGCTAATAATCTAGCATGTCAGAAGTGGGATTTGAACCCACGCCCTCGTACGAAGACCAGAACTTGAGAGTCTGGCGCCTTAGACCACTCGGCCATCCTGACATTAAGCTTGTAGTATTTTTCACTCGGCCATCCTTGTAGTATTTTTCAGTACAATAACGATGACGTTGTGATGACAAGCCTTTAGCAACAAGAACGAATGAGAGTCTAGATGCTAATAATCTAGCATGTCAGAAGTGGGATTTGAACCCACGCCCTCGTACGAAGACCAGAACTTGAGTCTGGCGCCTTAGACCACTCGGCCATCCTGCAGTATTTTTCAGTACAATAACGATGACATTGTGATGACATGCCTTTAGCAACAAGAACGAGCTAGAATGAGAGCCTAGATGCTAATAATCTAGCATGTCAGAAGTGGGATTTAAACCCACGCCCTCTAACGAAGACCAGAACTTGAGTCTAGCGCCTTAGACCACTCGGCCATCCTGCAGTATTTTTCAGTACAATAACGATGACATTTTGATGACATGCCTTTAGCAACAAGAACGAGCTAGAATGAGAGCCTAGATGCTAATAATCTAGCATGTCAGAAGTGGGATTTGAACCCACGCCCTCTTACGAAGACCAGAACTTGAGTCTAGCGCCTTAGACCACTCGGTCATCCTGCAGTATTTTTCAGTACAATAACGATGACATTGTGATGACATGCCTTTAGCAACAAGAACGAGCTAGAATGAGAGCCTAGATGCTAATAATCTAGCATGTCAGAAGTGGGATTTAAACCCACGCCCTCTAACGAAGACCAGAACTTGAGTCTAGCGCCTTAGACCACTCGGTCATCCTGCAGTATTTTTCAGTACAATAACGATGACATTGTGATGACATGCCTTTAGCAACAAGAACGAGCTAGAATGAGAGCCTAGATGCTAATAATCTAGCATGTCAGAAGTGGGATTTAAACCCACGCCCTCTAACGAAGACCAGAACTTGAGTCTAGCGCCTTAGACCACTCGGCCATCCTGCAGTATTTTTCAGTACAATAACGATGACATTTTGATGACATGCCTTTAGCAACAAGAACGAGCTAGAATGAGAGCCTAGACGCTAATAATTTGAACCCACGCCCTCGTACGAAGACCAGAACTTGAGCAGAACTTGAGTCTGGCGCCTTAGACCACTCGGCCATCCTGACATTAAGCTTGCAGTACTTTTCAGTACAATAACGAAGACATTTTGATGACATGCCTTTAGCAACAAGAACGAGCTAGAATGAGAGCCTAGACGCTAATAATCTAGCATGTCAGAAGTGGGATTTGAACCCACGCCCTCGTACGAAGACCAGAACTTGAGTCTGGCGCCTTCGGCCATCCTGACATTTAGCTTGCAGTATTTTTCAGTACAATAACGATGACGTTGTGATGACAAGCCTTTAGCAACAAGAACGAATGAGAGTCTAGATGCTAATAATCTAGCATGTCAGAAGTGGGATTTGAACCCACGCCCTCGTACGAAGACCAGAACTTGAGTCTGGCGCCTTAGACCACTCGGCCATCCTGACAGTACAATAACGATGACGTTGTGATGACATGCCTTTAGCAACAAGAACGAGCTAGAATGAGAGTCTAGATGCTAATAACCTAGCATGTCAGAAGTGGGATTTGAACCCACGCCCTCGTACGAAGACCAGAACTTGAGCAGAACTTGAGTCTGGCGCCTTAGACCACTCGGCCATCCTGACATTAAGCTTGCAGTATTTTTCAGTACAATAACGATGACGTTGTGATGACATGCCTTCAGCAACAAGAACGAATGAGAGTCTAGATGCTAATAATCTAGCATGTCAGAAGTGGGATTTGAACCCACGCCCTCGTACGAAGACCAGAACTTGAGCAGAACTTGAGTCTGGCGCCTTAGACCACTCGACCATCCTGACATTTAGCTTGCAGTATTTTTCAGTACAATAACGATGACGTTGTGATGACATGCCTTCAGCAACAAGAACGAATGAGAGTCTAGATGCTAATAACCTAGCATGTCAGAAGTGGGATTTGAACCCACGCCCTCGTACGAAGACCAGAACTTGAGCAGAACTTGAGTCTGGCGCCTTAGACCACTCGACCATCCTGACATTTAGCTTGCAGTATTTTTCAGTACAATAACGATGACGTTGTGATGACATGCCTTCAGCAACAAGAACGAATGAGAGTCTAGATGCTAATAACCTAGCATGTCAGAAGTGGGATTTGAACCCACGCCCTCGTACGAAGACCAGAACTTGAGCAGAACTTGAGTCTGGCGCCTTAGACCACTCGACCATCCTGACATTTAGCTTGCAGTATTTTTCAGTACAATAACGATGACGTTGTGATGACATGCCTTCAGCAACAAGAACGAATGAGAGTCTAGATGCTAATAACCTAGCATGTCAGAAGTGGGATTTGAACCCACGCCCTCGTACGAAGACCAGAACTTGAGCAGAACTTGAGTCTGGCGCCTTAGACCACTCGACCATCCTGACATTTAGCTTGCAGTATTTTTCAGTACAATAACGATGACGTTGTGATGACATGCCTTCAGCAACAAGAACGAATGAGAGTCTAGATGCTAATAACCTAGCATGTCAGAAGTGGGATTTGAACCCACGCCCTCGTACGAAGACCAGAACTTGAGCAGAACTTGAGTCTGGCGCCTTAGACCACTCGACCATCCTGACATTTAGCTTGCAGTATTTTTCAGTACAATAACGATGACGTTGTGATGACATGCCTTCAGCAACAAGAACGAATGAGAGTCTAGATGCTAATAACCTAGCATGTCAGAAGTGGGATTTGAACCCACGCCCTCGTACGAAGACCAGAACTTGAGCAGAACTTGAGTCTGGCGCCTTAGACCACTCGACCATCCTGACATTTAGCTTGCAGTATTTTTCAGTACAATAACGATGACGTTGTGATGACATGCCTTCAGCAACAAGAACGAATGAGAGTCTAGATGCTAATAACCTAGCATGTCAGAAGTGGGATTTGAACCCACGCCCTCGTACGAAGACCAGAACTTGAGCAGAACTTGAGTCTGGCGCCTTAGACCACTCGACCATCCTGACATTTAGCTTGCAGTATTTTTCAGTACAATAACGATGACATTGTGATGACATGCCTTCAGCAACAAGAACGAATGAGAGTCTAGATGCTAATAACCTAGCATGTCAGAAGTGGGATTTGAACCCACGCCCTCGTACGAAGACCAGAACTTGAGCAGAACTTGAGTCTGGCGCCTTAGACCACTCGACCATCCTGACATTTAGCTTGCAGTATTTTTCAGTACAATAACGATGACGTTGTGATGACATGCCTTCAGCAACAAGAACGAATGAGAGTCTAGATGCTAATAACCTAGCATGTCAGAAGTGGGATTTGAACCCACGCCCTCGTACGAAGACCAGAACTTGAGCAGAACTTGAGTCTGGCGCCTTAGACCACTCGACCATCCTGACATTTAGCTTGCAGTATTTTTCAGTACAATAACGATGACGTTGTGATGACATGCCTTCAGCAACAAGAACGAATGAGAGTCTAGATGCTAATAACCTAGCATGTCAGAAGTGGGATTTGAACCCACGCCCTCGTACGAAGACCAGAACTTGAGCAGAACTTGAGTCTGGCGCCTTAGACCACTCGGCCATCCTGACATTTAGCTTGCAGTATTTTTCAGTACAATAACGATGACGTTGTGATGACATGCCTTCAGCAACAAGAACGAATGAGAGTCTAGATGCTAATAACCTAGCATGTCAGAAGTGGGATTTGAACCCACGCCCTCGTACGAAGACCAGAACTTGAGCAGAACTTGAGTCTGGCGCCTTAGACCACTCGACCATCCTGACATTTAGCTTGCAGTATTTTTCAGTACAATAACGATGACATGCCTTTAGCAACAAGAACGAGCTAGGAATGAGAGCCTAGACGCTAATAATCTAGCATGTCAGAAGTGGGATTTGAACCCACGCCCTCGTACGAAGACCAGAACTTGAGTCTGGCGCCTTAGACCACTCGGCCATCCTGACATTAAGGATGCAGTACTTTTCAGTACAATAACGATGACATTTTGATGACATGCCGTTAGCAACAAGAACGAGCTAGAATGAGAGCCTAGACGCTAATAATCTAGCATGTCAGAAGTGGGATTTGAACCCACGCCCTCGTACGAAGACCAGAACTTGAGAGTCTGGCGCCTTAGACCACTCGGCCATCCTGACATTAAGCTTGCAGTATTTTTCAGTACAATAACGATGACATTTTGATGACATGCCTTTAGCAACAAGAACGAGCTAGAATGAGAGCCTAGACGCTAATAATCTAGCATGTCAGAAGTGGGATTTGAACCCACGCCCTCGTACGAAGACCAGAACTTGAGTCTGGCGCCTTAGACCACTCGGCCATCCTGACATTTAGCTTGCAGTATTTTTCAGTACAATAACGATGACATTTTGATGACATGCCTTTAGCAACAAGAACGAGCTAGAATGAGAGTCTAGATGCTAATAATCTAGCATGTCAGAAGTGGGATTTGAACCCACGCCCTCGTACGAAGACTAGAACTTGAGTCTTGCGCCTTAGACCACTCGGCCATCCTGACATTAAGCTTGCAGTATTTTTCAGTACAATAACGATGACATTTTGATGACATGCCTTTAGCAACAAGAACGAGCTAGAATGAGAGCCTAGACGCTAATAATGTAGCATGTCAGATGTGGGATTTGAACCCACGCCCTCTTACGAAGACCAAAACTTGAGTCTGGCGCCTTAGACCACTCGACCATCCTGACATTTAGCTTGCAGTATTTTTCAGTACAATAACGATGACGTTGTGATGACATGCCTTTAGCAACAAGAACGAATGAGAGTCTAGATGCTAATAACCTAGCATGTCAGAAGTGGGATTTGAACCCACGCCCTCGTACGAAGACCAGAACTTGAGTCTGGCGCCTTAGACCACTCGGCCATCCTGACATTTAGCTTGCAGTATTTTTCAGTACAATAACGATGACATTTTGATGACATGCCTTTAGCAACAAGAACGAGCTAGAATGAGAGCCTAGACGCTAATAATGTAGCATGTCAGATGTGGGATTTGAACCCACACCCTCTTACGAAGACCAAAACTTGAGTCTGCTAGCATGTCAGAAGTGGGATTTGAACCCACGCCCTCTAACGAAGACCAGAACTTGAGTCTGGCGCCTTCGGCCATCCTGACATTTAGCTTGCAGTATTTTTCAGTACAATAACGATGACATTGTGATGACATGCCTTTAGCAACAAGAACGAGCTAGAATGAGAGCCTAGACGCTAATAATCTAGCATGTCAGAAGTGGGATTTGAACCCACGCCCTCGTACGAAGACCAGAACTTGAGTCTGGCGCCTTAGACCACTCGGCCATCCTGACATTAAGCTTGCAGTATTTTTCAGTACAATAACGATGACATTTTGATGACATGCCTTTAGCAACAAGAACGAGCTAGAATGAGAGCCTAGACGCTAATAATGTAGCATGTCAGATGTGGGATTTGAACCCACGCCCTCTTACGAAGACCAAAACTTGAGTCTAGCGCCTTAGACCACTCGACCATCCTGACATTTAGCTTGCAGTATTTTTCAGTACAATAACGATGACGTTGTGATGACATGCCTTCAGCAACAAGAACGAATGAGAGTCTAGATGCTAATAATCTAGCATGTCAGAAGTGGGATTTGAACCCACGCCCTCGTACGAAGACCAGAACTTGAGTCTGGCGCCTTAGACCACTCGGCCATCCTGACATTTAGCTTGTAGTATTTTTCAGTACAATAACGATGACATGCCTTTAGCAACAAGAACGAGCTAGAATGAGAGTCTAGAGGCTAATAATCTAGCATGTCAGAAGTGGGATTTGAACCCACGCCCTCTAACGAAGACCAGAACTTGAGTCTGGCGCCTTCGGCCATCCTGACATTTAGCTTGCAGTATTTTTCCGTACAATAACGATGACATTGTGATAACGATGACATTGTGATGACATGCCTTTAGCAACAAGAAGGCGCTAGAATGAGAGCCTAGATGCTAATAATCTAGCATGTCAGAAGTGGGATTTGAACCCACGCCCTCGTACGAAGACCAGAACTTGAGTCTGGCGCCTTAGACCACTCGGCCATCCTGACATTTAGCTTGCAGTATTTTTCAGTACAATAACGATGACATTTTGATGACATGCCTTTAGCAACAAGAACGAGCTAGAATGAGAGTCTAGATGCTAAGAACTTGAGTTGTCAGAAGTGGGATTTAAACCCACGCCCTCTAACGAAGACCAGAACTTGAGTCTGGCGCCTTAGACCACTCGGCCATCCTGCAGTATTTTTCGGTACAATAACGATGACATTGTGATGACATGCCTTTAGCAACAAGAACGAGCTAGAATGAGAGCCTAGATGCTAATAATCTAGCATGTCAGAAGTGGGATTTGAACCCACGCCCTCGTACGAAGACCAGAACTTGAGTCTGGCGCCTTAGACCACTCGGCCATCCTGACATTTAGCTTGCAGTATTTTTCAGTACAATAACGATGACATTTTGATGACATGCCTTTAGCAACAAGAACGAGCTAGAATGAGAGCCTAGACGCTAATAATGTAGCATGTCAGATGTGGGATTTGAACCCACGAGTCTGGCGCCTTAGACCACTCGACCATCCTGACATTTAGCTTGCAGTATTTTTCAGTACAATAACGATGACGTTGTGATGACATGCCTTTAGCAACAAGAACGAATGAGAGTCTAGATGCTAATAATCTAGCATGTCAGAAGTGGGATTTGAACCCACGCCCTCGTACGAAGACCAGAACTTGAGTCTGGCGCCTTAGACCACTCGGCCATCCTGACATTTAGCTTGCAGTATTTTTCAGTACAATAACGTGATGACATGCCTTTAGCAACAAGAACGAGCTAGAATGAGAGCCTAGACGCTAATAATGTAGCATGTCAGATGTGGGATTTGAACCCACGCCCTCTTACGAAGACCAAAACTTGAGTCTGGCGCCTTAGACCACTCGGCCATCCTGACATTTAGCTTGCAGTATTTTTCAGTACAATAACGATGACATGCCTTTAGCAACAAGAACGAGCTAGAATGAGAGCCTAGATGCTAATAATCTAGCATGTCAGAAGTGGGATTTGAACCCACGCCCTCGTACGAAGACCAGAACTTGAGTCTGGCGCCTTAGACCACTCGGCCATCCTGACATTTAACTTGTAGTATTTAGTATTTTTCAGTACAATAACGATGACATTTTGATTTCAGTACAATAACGATGACGTTGTGATGACATGCCTTTAGCAACAAGAACGAGCTAGAATGAGAGCCTAGATGCTAATAATCTAGCATGTCAGAAGTGGGATTTGAACCCACGCCCTCGTAGGAAGACCAGAACTTGAGTCTGGCGCTCTGGCGCCTTAGACCACTCGGCCATCCTGACATTTAGCTTGCAGTATTTTTCAGTACAATAACGATGACGTTGTGATGACAAGCCTTTAGCAACAAGAACGAATTAGAGTCTAGATGCTAATAATCTAGCATGTCAGAAGTGGGATTTGAACCCACGCCCTCGTACGAAGACCAGAACTTGAGTCTGGCGCCTTAGACCACTCGGCCATCCTGACATTTAGCTTGTAGTATTTTTCAGTACAATAACGATGACATCGCCTTAGACCACTCGGCCATCCTGACATTTAGCTTGTAGTATTTTTCAGTACAATAACGATGACATTTTGATGACATGCCTTTAGCAACAAGAACGAGCTAGAATGAGAGTCTAGATGCTAATAATTTAATATGTTAGAAGTGGGATTTGAACCCACGCCCTCTTACAAAGACCAGAACTCGAGTCTGGCGCCTTAGACCACTCGGCCATCCTGACATTAAGCTTGCAGTATTTTTCAGTACAATAACGATGACATGCCTTTAGCAACAAGAACGAGCTAAAATGAGAGTCTAGATGCTAATAATCTAGCATGTCAGAAGTGGGATTTGAACCCACGCCCTCTTACGAAGACCAGAACTTGAGTCTGGCGCCTTAGACCACTCGGCCATCCTGACATTTAGCTTGCAGTATTTTTCAGTACAATAACGATGACATTTTGATGACATGCCTTTAGCAACAAGAACGAGCTAGAATGAGAGCCTAGACGCTAATAATCTAGCATGTCGGAAGTGGGATTTGAACCCACGCCCTCTTACGAAGACCAGAACTTGAGTCTGGCGCCTTCGACCACTCGGCCATCCTGACATTTAGCTTGCAATATTTTTCAGTACAATAACGATGACATTGTGATGACATGCCTTTAGCAACAAGAACGAGCTAGAATGAGAGTTTAGATGCTAATAATTTAGTATGTTAGAAGTGGGATTTGAACCCACGCCCTCTTACAAAGACCAGAACTCGAGTTTGGCGCCTTAGACCACTCGGCCATCCGGACATTTAGCTTGCAATATTTTTCTGTATAATAACGATGACATTGTAATGACATGCCTTTAGCAACAAGAACGAGCTAGAATGAGAGTCTAAACGCTAATAATCTAGCATGTCAGAAGTGGGATTTGAACCCACGCCCTCTTACGAAGACCAGAACTTGAGTCTGGCGCCTTAGACCACTCGGCCATCCTGACATTTAGCTTGCAGTATTTTTCAGTACGAACTTGAGTCTGGCGCCTTAGACCACTCGGCCATCCTGACATTTAGCTTGCAGTATTTTTCAGTACAAACTTGAGTCTGGCGCCTTAGACCACTCGGCCATCCTGACATTTAGCTTGCAGTATTTTTCAGTACAATAACGATGACATTGCCTTAGACCACTCGGCCATCCTGACATTTAGCTTGCAGTATTTTTCAGTACAATAACGATGACATTTTGATGACATGCCTTTAGCAACAAGAACGTAGCTTGCAGTATTTTTCAGTACAATAACGATGACATTTTGATGACATGCCTTTAGCAACAAGAACGTGCTAGAATGAGAGCCTAGACGCTAATAATCTAGCATGTCAGAAGTGGGATTTGAACCCCTTGAGTCTGGCGGCCTTAGATCACTCGGCCATCCTGACATTTAGCTTGCAATATTTTTCAGTACAATAACGATGACATTGTGATGACATGCCTTTAGCAACAAGAACGAGCTAGAATGAGAGTCTAGATGCTAATAATTTAGTATGTCAGAAGTGGGATTTGAACCCACGCCCTCTTACGAGGACGAGAACTTGAGTCTGGTGTCACAATCGTACTTTTAATGGCAGCAGACTTGCGATTGTGCGACACTCCCTTTCTAACGACAAGTGAGCTAAGCCAATTCGTTCTTGCGTCGCCTACGGCCAAGCGACGTATGCTCGAGCCTCTGGCCTTGACTTTGAGAGAATGTTTTAGAAAGCGAGGGCAGAGAGAGATTTTCGAAAGAGAGATTTTTGAAAGAGACGTTATATAAGCAAGCAAGAGAGAAATAACAACGGCTTACAGTATATAACCTATGGTAGGGAGAAGTTGACAACTAGTCGTATCCCCCTATAGTACATTCTGAGACATTTCATGTGTGACAGACCTAGACATAATATTTCTGAAACGTCATACTTCCTAGAAATATAAAAGCAAAACACTTGAATATGAAAAGACATAAAGGGTTGGGCTTGTCATGGGCATGCGGCCATGGGCATCACGCCTTGGACGAGCATGACCGTAACATTCTCCCCCACCTAATTGGTTGACATCCCTGTCAACTGACTTCTTTCGAATCTGGCGATGTGGGTGGAGGCGGAGTCCAGATCTTCGGCACGTTCCCAGCTAGTTTCCTCCGTAGGGAGATTCTTCTATTTGACAAGGAATTCATGAATCATCCGTACGGGTCTTCCTATCTTCCTAACCCTGTCGGCTAGGATCTCCTCTATTTCTTTGTTGTCTCTTTGTTTCAGATCGATGCTCGGCCTTGTGATTACATTTCGCTGGTCAACGTCCGGGTGAGGGTGGTAAGGATTCAAGTTGCTCACATGAATTATTGGGTGGATTTTCATCAATGTGGGTAGTGCAACTTTGTAGGAGGTAGCCCCGATCTTTTTGATGACTTCAACCGGGCCTTCATATTTTCGAACTAGTCACTGGTTCTTTCGGCTACGAAATCTTATCTGTTCTGGTCTCAACTTGATGAGGACTTGATCTCCTGCTCAAAATTGAAGGCGGCGACGCTTCTTGTCCGCCCACTTCTTCATATGCTTGGAGGCTTTCTCTAAATATGCCCGGGCTATATCTGTTGTCTGCTTCCATTCGTTTGTGAAGTTTTGAGCTTGAGGGTTTTTCCCTACATAAGGATGATCAATAATATGTGGTAAGGCCGGTTGTCGTCCACTTACAATTTTAAAGGGGCTCTTCCTCGTAGACGAGCTCGTTTGACAATTGAAACAGAATTGGGCCACATCTAGCAGTTGTATCCAGTTCTTCTGCCGAGCGTCGACGAAGTGACATAAGTATTCTTCGAGCAAGCAGTTGAATCGTTTCGTCTGTCCATCGGTTTGGGGATGGTAGCTCGAAGAGATGTTTAAAGTCGTTCTCAAGAAGGCGAATAGTTCGATCCGAAATGTGCCAATGAACCTACCATCTCTATCACTGATGATGCTCAACGGAATGCCCTATAACTTGACAACGTGTTTGAAAAATAATTGGGCTGTTAGTTTAGCCGAGCATAATTTTGGAGTGGGAACAAATGTTGCATATTTCGAGAATCGATCTACGATAACCAAGATGACGTTATATTCTCCGACTTTTGGGAGGTGTGTTATGAAGTCCAGATACACACTTTCCCAAGGTCTTGTTGGCACAGGTAGAGGTTCTAAGAGTCCCGAGACTTTGGCTTTCTCGACTTTGTCCTTTTGGCAGATGAGGCACGTCTTTGTGTACTGCATGATATCGTCCCGCATATTCGGCCAGAAGTACCCCTTTTTTATTAAGGCATACGTTGTTTGCCACCCAAGGTGTCCTGCCCATAAGGTATCATGACATTCCTGAATGAGTTTCTTCCTCAGTTCTCCCGTTCTTGGGACGTATAACCTGTTTCCTTTAGTCATTAGAAGGTCTCCCTCGACCCAAAACTGTCGTGTCTTCCCAGCTTTAGCTAGTTTGACGACGGCTTTGGCCGATGGGTCTTTGTGTAAATGTTCTTTGATGATGTCGTGCATCGATCCATCGATCTTACTTGAATGAATATGGGCTAACATGCAAAGGGCCGCATGTTCGCCCTTCCGACTCAGTGCATCGGCTGCTTGATTACTCTTCCCTGCCTTGTGTTCGAATTTGAAGTCGAATTCCGCCAACGACTCTTACCACCAGGCTTGTTTTGCCATCAATTTTGGTTGATCGAAGAAGTGGTAGATGGCGCTGTTATCCGTCTTCACTATGAACTGTGATCCCAAGAGATACTGTCTCTAGACTCGTAGGCAATGAACTAAAGCTAGCATTTCCTTTTCGGAGACAGTGTATCTCCGTTCGGCATCATTGAGCTTTCGACTTTCATAAGCGATGGGGCGCCCTTCTTGAATAAGGACATCGCCTAGGGCAAAGTCAGAAGCATTTGTTTCTATTTCAAATGACTTTGTAACATCTACTAACTCGAAGGCAGGACCCCTCGTCATGGTTGTCTTCAGATCTTCAAAGGCCATTTGACATTTATTTGACCACGACCAAGGGTGGTCTTTCTTCAGGAGCTCCGTTAAGGGGGTGGCTCGTCGTGAAAACCCTTCGACGAACCGCCTATAGTAGTTTGCTAATCCTAAGAAGGATCGCACATCGGATACGGAAGTAGGGACTTTCCACTCTTGGATAGCTTTTATCTTATCGCTATCCATCCCAATCTGTCCACAACTGATGACATGTTCGAGGAAGTTGATGCATGTCTGTGCGAAGGCACATTTTTCTTTCTTGACGTACAACTGATTCTGCCGCAGCTTGTCAAATACAAGCTTCAAGTGTACCTTGTGTTCCTCTAAGGTTGTGCTGTATACAACTATGTCATCGAGGGATACTATGACAAACTGATCCAAGTATTCGTAGAAAACCAGGTTCATTAACATGTAAAACGTAGCTGGGGCGTTTGTCAAGCCAAAGGGCATCACCAGGAACTCGAAGGCCCCATATCTTGTCATGAACGTCGTCTTGGACTCGTCCCCCTCGGCGATACGTACTTGGTAGTACCCTGATCGTATGTCCAACTTCGTGAAGTATTTGGCCCCATGAAGTTGGTCGAACAAGTCAGATATTATCAGCAGTGGGTACTTGTTGTGTACCGTCACCTTGTTTAAGGCTCTATAATCTATGCACAGGCGCAACGTCCCATCCTTCTTTTTCTGAAATAGTACGGGGGCTCCGTAAGGTGCTTTTGCCGGGCAAATGAATCCTGCCGTCAACAACTCATCTAGTTGTTTCCTCAATTCGGCTAGCTCAA